TGGGGTTGGTGCCCAAATGGGGACAGCATATTCTAAAATGGGCCTAACAAGCGAAGTATAAGTATTAAGAAGAGTTATTGGTCGTGATCCCCAAGATACACCACATAATCTCTTAAGGATAAAAGGTTTGTTAGAGATTTCTTCAAGATGTTTTGAAAACCTCAGCTCATCATCAAGAGTTACTCCAAGGTACTTGAGATGTGAAGTTCGTTTGATTACAGAGCCACATAGATTTATAGTAGGTAACGAATACAGTCTTTACATATTTTAACGAATACAGACTAATCAAATTCTCGCTAACTATTATCCTCGCTCGCTATTATCCTTCCTATTTCAACCAGACAGCGTGTGTTGCTTCTTGTACTTAGCCTATATATTTGCTCGTTTTGACGAAAATTTCTTTATCACGTCATACTGTGTATAACTTGTGGTTTCCTTCTATAAATTGCGTAGTAAGATTAAATATGTACAATACAGTTTGAAGCATAGCATTGAATGAATAGAAAATCAAATTCTATAGATTGCTCTGACAGGCAACAAAGTCCATTTCGTTTTGTCAGTAAAGTAGATTAACGAGTAAATATATAAATTTGCACAGTAAATAAATTTTATACCACAAGCACAGTCTCCAGCTGCTTTGTCAGGCAACTGAGTTCTTTTCACTGTGTCAGTGATTATGACTATATACATATGTACATGTTATCATTCTGAGTTGTTGTGGGTTGACCTGGGTCGTTTCATTGTGCTTTCTACGGTAGGATCGTAATTTGTAATGGATGTGATTTCACTGCATTGCGAATTTTATAGTTTCTCGAAAAGATTGTGAACATCTATCAGAATTGTTTGATGACTAAGATTTATTTTCAAATCTGTGTGAATTTGTGAGTTTCTCACAAACCATGGTACGTTCACGATGGCTCTTATTATCCTGTTTTATAAAGACTGTGACTTTCTGCTTTTCAGTTTTTAGTGCGGTGTAATAAAACTGGTCAAATTAATGTTAAGTAAAGCGTTCTTTTAACATAGATGCTAAGTTTCGATTTCCTTCCTATGAGATCATTGTGGCCTTATACACTCTCATAGAAAGATAAAATTTTCTCTTTTGATAAAAAAATCTGACCGAAAGGATTTTTTTCTCCAGCTGGATGAGGCGATTGTTCTAACGGAAATGTCTCATCGTACCAATGCTATTCATCTCTTCTCTACATATAACAAAAGAAAGAGTCTGTGTGTCTTTTCATTCGTGCTGCGCGTAAGCTGAAAGACCCAGGGCTACGAAATTTGGTATATAGGTGCATCTAGACAAGAGCCAGTGCACCTCGAAGCGATGTTTTCAAAATTCGAATCAGATTTTTTTTTTTTTTTTTTTTTTTTTTTTTTTAGTCCAAAGGGATTTCAGTCTCGAAGGACTATTGCTTTCGTTTTGGCATTTTGCGTCGGACTCATAAACGTCGGTTCACTTTTCAAACTGTTGCCACAAAATGTTAGAGTCCTGCATTATATTTGAAGAAATTAAATAATGAAAAAATCTGCATAAATGATTGTCTATTCTCGCATTGTGATAAAACAATGGAACATAGAGCCATCGAATTTTGAATGACGAAATCCTACTGCGAATATGGGCGCATCTGAAATCCCAAATTTGGAATTGTTTTATATAGATTTTATATTTGTAAAACTTTAACGAATTTTTGATTTACAAACTCAAATGCTTTAAAAGCGAGAAATGGCAACGTTATATAGAAAAAATATACTTTTATCTCCAGCTCGCGAGGCTGTGTATATCGGAAATTCTAAAGATATGCTTAATTTAACATTATTTTGCGATATTGCTCTTGAAACTGAATTTTATGGTTTAAGTGCAAGAACATGATATTAATAAATAAAGGTAACACTCAAAACGTTAAAAAAACGCCCCTTTGACGTAATTTAAAATCTGAAAAATTTCAGATTTTTTTTTTTTTTTTTTTTTTTTTTTTTTTTTTTTTTTAAGTCTTTTGATTTTATCGCATCATTTTGTATAGTTGCTTTTTTAGAAATATGGCTTTGACAACATTTTTTCATTCAATTGTATACTGGACTGACTATTGAAAATCAGAATGTTGCCACTTAAAATAATGAGGGCGATAATTCTGGTGCAGTTTATAAATTAATGTTTTTCTTGGATACTGGATTTTATTGAGAGAAGGCAACGGGAGTTGATTAATTTATTTATTAATATAATTAATATTTGTAGGCTTATTTCATTGTAATTTTGTTATATGTAATCATTTTTTTTTTAATTTGTGGGGTTTTTTTTAGTCCAAAGAGGCTTTGTCCCTGAAGGACTATATTTTCGTTTCGCGATGTTGCGTCGAATCAGTAAAACGGCGAATCGCTTTTCAAAAACTATTACCACAAAGTATTATCGTCCTGTGTTATATTTAAAGAAATTAAATAATGAAAAATATGCATAAATGTATGTATATTTCTCGCGTTGTGATAAAAACAACGGTATATAGAGCCATCGAATTTTGAATGACGTAATCCTCCTACGAATATGGGCATGTGGTAGACCAAATTTGAAATTTGGAATTCGTTTTATTATTGATTTCTTATTTTGTAAAACTTTCGCGAATTTTTTATTAACAAACTCAAGGATTTCAAAGCGAGCAGTGGCAACGTTGTACATAAAAACCATTTTTATCTCCAGCGCATGAGTCTCTCTATATCGGAAATTCTAAAAATAAGCTCATTTTAATACTATTTTGCGATATTGCTGTTGAACTGAATTTTATGGTTTAAGTGCGAAGAACGTGATATTTAATAAATAAATGTAACACACAAAATGTTAAAAAAACGCCCCTTTGGACGTAATTTAAAATCTGAAATAGTTCATATTTTTTATGAAGTTGTTCTGCAGAGTAAAATTCTGTGCAGTTTTTAAATTTAACGTTTTGTGTTCCCTTCAAGCATTTTTCCAGTACATTTAAAAGCCAGACGAAGGCTGGCCGCGTAGCTGCTAGTATAAAATAAGGAAATGAATAAAAGGATACTTCTGTGTGAGGAATTCAGAGTAAACTCATATACATAATATAGTAACTGCGTGGGTTCGCTAAACTTTTGAATTCTTAGCAATTGACTTCATTAAAATACAAACTAACAAGGAAATCTTAAAAATATTTATTTTTTCTTTAAAAGAATTACACTCGCTCTTGCCATTCAATAAAAACCAAGTTGTTATTGTTAAAATGTACCTAAGAAATAAGGAAATTTCTTAATTTCCTTATAAAGGTAAATTAATGATTCACAAACAGTTTTCCATTGCCAACTGTTGAAAATAATTTTTCACATTAAAAAAAAATTATTTTCAGTTATTTTTAATCTGGTGGCCGAAATATTATTGCAATCGAGTTGTCTTTATATATGCTTACCAAGTGTACTAAAAAGACTTTATATACAAAACTAGCACATCTTATATTTCAACTATTCATTAGCGCTCTTTGTCTTCTTAAAGTTTCTGCGAAACGACTCATCAGAAGTAATTGATTAAAGTCTTATCAGAAGGGGCAGAATAGGAGAGGAAAATTTTATACACTAAGCTTATGAAAACGTATGGTAGTGTTTTTTTAACACTGCAAAAAAATAAAGGATCTAATACCATCGTTATAATTTAATAAGATTAAAATCATGTCATTCATATAGAAGTTGATTGTGTTTATGTATGTGGCATGAAAAAAAAAAAAGATAAAATGGTTGAATTTTCTATGAAAATGTTAAGCTTTCAATTTAAATGTATACTGAGTACAAAATTTCTCTACTACAGGAATTTCTCCACTACAATCACTTCACTTCTGTATGCTGTATTAAAGCACTGAAGGAATTCCGGTATATTATCAAATCCATAAAACTGTTTGTAAATAAATTTAATTGCGAAAACACTGATGAAGGTAACTCAGTTTTTACAGAATTGTATCATTATCTTTCCTTTATTTTTGATGGAAGTGATAGTATACATTCGGAAGAGAAATTTATAGTAAATGAACAGAATATATCCTTTCCGAAGCAAAATTTATTAAGTACATTAATCGTATAAATTGTTAAAAAACTTGTTGCAAAATAATATCAAGAAACAAATATTGTTTTATATATATTATTTTATCAAGGATTACGCTGTTATAATAATATGAAAGATGGTATCAGTCAAGAGTTTTTTTTTTATTATTATTATTCATTTTTTAATTTTATTATTCTTTATTTTCTTTTCACTTCGGATTGTATTTTATTTAAAATGAAAATGTCAATATCCAATGGAATGAATTTTCGAGTCTTATCAACGAAACTAAATTGAAAGAATTTATAAATTTGAGAACTGAGAAATATTTATTTTTTTGCAAAATAGGGCTATTTTGAAATTGTAATAAATATACGAAGTACAATTTTTTTAAATCTTAATTAAATTGAAGTGCTATCTCATTCGCGAAAGATAATCAAACAGTATTACAGTAAATGCTTATACTCACCAATTTAACAACTGTGTAGAGCGGTAATAATCATTGTCATCAAAATTAACGAAATTAGAAGCCAGTGGTTCCGAATACTGAAGAAAGCAAACGCTATTTAAAATGTTAAAGCAATGATTTGGAACAGATATTGACTCCTTTTGATTACAGTGCCGTCAAACTTAGTTTAAAAATAGGGAAGGTTACTTTACTGCTTAATGGCTCATCAACAGTCGTCATTTTCTGTCTGGCATTTTCTGTATGGCGATCACCTTTATAGAAAACTGCTTGGAACTGCAGATGATTTTTTCGGAAAGTTTTAGTGCATAATTTTTAAGAATAGAGAAAAAGTAGGTAGGAGAATGTGAAAAATTTAAGATGCTACTATCTTTTTCGATTTATTAAGTAAATTCTTTGTCTAAGTAAAATGGATTAAAAAATACATCTTTTATTGAAACAATTGTAATAAATAATTTTGATTATTTATCTTTCTTTAATTAAAAAATGCTTGTATTCCAGACTACTGTGTATTCACGGAGCCCTTTCACGAGCTTGGAGCGCCACTCGCCTCTGCATTCAAGAAGGCAACTTCTCCTTTTGGCGGAAAGCTTTCATTGCTTTTCCTTATTCAAATAAATAAATCTTGAAATTCAAAACTCAATTTAAAATTTATTGTTATTGTTTAAATTATTTATGTACATCGATATGATTATTTACGCATTAATTAAGTTTCATTTGCAGAAATTTAGCTTAGAATTTGAAAAGTAAACTTAATTTGAAAGAATTAAATTTGAATGCAGGCTTTACTCACTAAAAAAATATTATTTATACAAAAAAATCAAACGTGCGTAAAAGAATATCGGAACGAAACTGGGTCGGAAATCGTTCCTAGTTAACTAGGTATGAACTCGTTTTTCTCTAAATGGGTGCGAATGATTTTAAATCTATTCTAAAGCATCAGAGAAAAGAATCCATTACTTAACGATAATGAGAGTGTTCATAAAGAGCTTTCAGTAATATCATTTGGCGTGCCCGACCTTGAAGGTCAAATATCTTGCCATGAATGGACTTGACCTTCTTTTAAGAATGCGTGATGTCTTAATGGAAAGTCAACTATTTATCTTTCGCGTCTGACGCCACTTGACAAGATGGTTTGTGGATTTTTATGGAATGTTTATTTAAAATCATTAGAAAAAACTTGTGAGCATTATGTCAAACAATTTAAATTGGCGAAGTTTCATATTTATTTTAAACAGTTGAAGTTTTATTTTATTGTTATAATTTTCCTACTGATAAAGGTTGCTGTTTACTGAAGGGAAAGGTGAATTTTCGTTGAGAAGCGAAGTATCTTCAAAGCTGCAATTCTAATCGTTTTATTTTGGAGAGAAAGGGCGTTAAATGGAAAGTTGAGCTCTTAAACTGTACGTATTTTTCTGTTGATTTACGATTGAATTTCATGGATACAACTTAAGAGACAGAAATTTAGATTAAAAAAAAACAGAAGAGCAACAAATAATGCCATATGTATTCATTTAGAAAATATTCAAAGTAATATTTAGACCAATTAAGACCTAATTCAAGTTGCTAGACATGTGGAGCTGAGGATTAGCTTTTCAGTGCGGAATAAGCGATAAAAAAATAACTACTGCAAGGGGAAAAAGTATCCATATAACCACGCCTAAAATTTTTTAAGGCAATTTATTTGTGTTAATTAACTTTCAATATACTTGAAATATATATCCTAGCAACAGAAAAAAATCATACCCTTAAAACTAATGATATTTTCTGTAAATGTTACAGGTTAATTTTAAAATGTTCGTATAATTATCATAAATGCTTAAAACTGTGAAACTAGTATATGTTTTATAAACTACGGTGTTAATCTCAAGAGATTAACTGTGATGTGATTAATGGTTAAAAATACTTTGTTTTATATATATTGTTTTCGTTTATTGTATTGTATTTGTTTTTTGTTAAAAATACTTCGTTACGTACCACCTATTTTGCTTTTGGGTACCAATGGTTGAGAATCGCTGATCTAGAGATTACCTATTATGGTACATCGTGCAATCCCACCGTATGCACGGCATCTAGTATTCATTAAAAATCATGATTTAGGACATAAAGAGATTACAATAAAGTCACAATGCAACTTGAAATTCACAAATTAAATTGAACATACGCGTACTATGATTCTAAACTATTAAGTGGACTGTATAGCAAAAGAACTAACTAATTTATTTACAGTAATTAACTATTCAGATCTAATACATGCTCTGGCATGTTGCTTAGCTGAATCCAAATGGCCAAGTGAGAGTTTCTCAACTTATCCAACAGTGGCGCTGTATTCTAACTTAACATGCCGCCGCCAGTTGAAATTACAAATTTCAACATGTAAATTACAAACATATATACAATTTAACAATCAAGAAAACTAATTCTACAATACAATATGAAAACTATAGATAATCTTTCATCATGAATATAATATAAAATAACATAACATTTTAAGAACGTAAACATTCACTATGCTACAATCGAACTTATTCTTTAAAAACAGTTCTATTTTTATGTAAATCACAATTTTCAATAAGAACATAATGTAAACTAAGCATTATTATCCTGGATAGGTAATAAACAAATTTTACTAATACATGGAATATACACACACTATTTGATGTTTTCACATTAACAACTCTGGCCTTATTATCTTTACCAGGTAAAACTTCTAGAATTCTAGCTAAAGACCATTTAAATGGGGGAAGATTATCTTCCTTTAACACAACTAACATACCTGCCTTTAAATTTTCTTTATTGATAAACCATTTGGTGTGTTGTTGGAGATGATTTAAATAATCAGTTTGCCAACGTTTCCAAATAAGTTCAATGAACTTGGTAATAACTTGCCATTTAAAAAGTCTATTATCTGTAAGATGAGACAAATCTGGTTCAGGATATGAAGTAATGGAACGTCCAAGTTAAAAACATGACCCTGGCGTTAAGGCTTCAAAGTCATTCGCATCTGTTGATAAAGGTAAAATTGGACGAGACTTGAGAATACCTTCTATCTGGTGTGACAACAGTCCAACAATTCTTCTAAAAGTTAATTTATAGCTGCCTGATTGTACGCTGAAGATGAACATTTAAATGACTTAATACCTGCTTCCCTATAAATCCACCGAAATTTGGTGCTCTAGGTGGAATTAGTTTCCAAGTTATATCTTTCAAGATGATAAGAAATTGCTATGTCAGAATTAGATTTAAGGACTAATCTATGCAATTTTTTTAGTTCTGAGTTTTCGCACCAAGCATATTAGTACCGTTATCTGACATTATAGTATTACATTTTCCGACGTGTAGCAATAAATCTTTTAATAGTAGCAAGTAATGAATCTGTGGTTAAATCAGTTACTACTTCTAAATGTACGGCTTTAGTAGCTAACACTATGAATAAAGCAACGTACACTTTTGCATAATTACCCTTTCTCTGATTTTTATACTTGATGAGGAATGGACCAGAAAAATCGAGTCCATAAGTATTAAATACAAACCCTGGATTAACTCTTTCACCAGGTAAATTTCCCATAAGTTGTTCACATATAGTTTGTTTAACCTTAAAACATGTTACACGTTCATGTACCACCTTTCGAGCTATATCTCGACCATTAATAACACAAAATTTACTACGAACCCGATGCAATAGTGCTTGAGCATCAAGCTGTAAATATTTAACATGGTAATACTCAAAAAATTAATCTAGTAAACACATGATCTTTTGGCATTACATAATGAAACTTTGTTTGTAATTAAGATTACTATTGGCAAGTCTGCCTCCTACTCTCAGAAGAGAATCATTATCTAGAAATGGACATAAAAATTTTAACTTACTTTTGGAAGAAACACAATTCTTATTTTTAAAGATAGAATAGCCTTGCTAAAATGTTGTAATGGTACATACCTGATCATGATTTTCTCAGCGTCATCCAATTCATTAACAGTTAGAGAACCTATTAAATGTTTTCCCTTACAATTGGCTATAAATCTACAAACAAAATTTAATACATGAATAATACGAATATAGTTATTACTAATGTTAAGAATATGATCTAAAATAAGGGAATTAGAGTTCACATTTAATTTAAACTAAGTCATTATCCTTAAGTTTGAGTTGTTTGACGTATTCCACATTATCCATATCAGTTGAAAGTAATTCACAAGGATTCGTCAAACCTCTTCTTAGTCAAAAAGTTGGTCCATACCACAATAAATCATTATGAAGAAGATCTTTAGGTTCAGCTCCACGTGATATCAAATCAGCTGGATTATTGTGAGTGCTAACATGGATACCACTCATGAACAGCAGTTATGCTTGCGACTAACACATACTCTATTAGCAACAAATGTCTTTAGTTAATAAGGTTCCTTTTTAATCCATGATAACACTATTGACGAATCAGTGAAGTAAATACACCTTGACTATAGGCAGCGGAATGGCCTCTAATATTCTTTTCATTAGTTTTACCAAGAGAACTGCACCACAAAGTTCGAAACAAGGAATGGTAATTGACTTCAAAGGTGACACAAAAGACTTGCTGCACATAAGTCTTGATGAACATTCATTTGAATATGACAAACATTTCACATAAATTGCAGCACCATAAGGCCTTCTGACTAGCATCACAGAATCCTATAATTTCTATTTGCTGTAATCCATTGGTTAGGACAAATCTAGGGATGCGATAATCGTTGACTATTTTAGACACAGAAATTCCTTCCATTTTCAAGTAATTTTTAGGAAGAATTATTCCATTTAATTTTAAAAGCCAAAGGGAATTTTAGTTTCCTACATCCTATAAACTGTTAGTTTTGACACGAATTCACGATTCTATTTTTCACGTTGGGAGAGCATCAAATTAATCAAGAATATACTAGTATAATCAAGAGTCAATATACCATTTTCACGTAAAGACTCAACTTGAAAATAAGAACTTCCAGTTGAAACACAGAAATATTTAATGAAGAGCTTATGTACATTATTTACATTATTGAAAGCACAAAATCATACATATAATATAAATTTTCCCATCATAGGGCCAAGATTAGTTTATCAAGAACAATTATTATAATTGTTGATTACCGCTATGCGGCCAAGAACAGATCATTTCAAGGCGTCGCCACTCAAGCTAACTAAAAAGAGTTATTACATTCTTCTCTTCTCTGCCGCCAGTCACGTGACCTAGTCGGCGACAGACGATAAAAAAAAAGAAAAATTGAATCCATCGGAGGGAAAAGAAATAATTTCAACAAACTCCCCCCCGATGAACAATAGGTTCATCATAAATTTAACTTACAATATTACTATAACAATAAGCAACAAATAAAAATTACTTACATATACAGGTCACATTATATCAATAATTTCTTAACACCAAGAAAATTTTTCTGAAACTAAAAAAAAAAAAAAAAAAAAAAAACATTTAATTAACATTTCTCAAGATCACCACAAATCATTAAACCAAGGAAAATAATAATGAATAAATGAAAACATTATGAAAAAGAACATTTTTTTTTTTCTATCATCAGTTTATCAGTCATTCAGTCCCAATTTTTTTTAACCAGT